GCAGCTAAAGTAGAAAACTAAAGATTGATATGGTTAAAATGACCAGTTAAAAGTACTGGTGGGAAAAGCATTTGCTAGGATGCCTAATTTTCATAATGCAATTATTAGTTATATTAGTTTTTATTACTGCTGAAGTCCAAGTGTCATATTGTAATTGGTTGTAATTAGTTATTTAAAAGAGTTGTAGTAGTTGTAAAAACTGAGTTGAGTTGACTGAATAATTTTTTCCTCAATTCTTTTTCTCTGTCTCGTATCTCTTAACATGAAATCAAACCTTGATCTTGGGTTCAATTCAATCCAAATTCTGCAAGTTTTTTTTCTTCCAAAGTCGAGACTAAATTAGTTCCAATTTCATTTAAGATCGTTCAGTTTACTCAAATTCTTTACAATCTTTCTTGAAGATCATTTATTTTCAACAATGTCGTCAAACACCTCGGAGAATCTTCAAGTTGTGTCCATGGCCGCCGATTACAACAATCTGTTATACATGCACCCTTCCGACACGCTGGGGAGTCAAATCATTAGCCAAATTTTAACAGGAAGTGACAATTACAGTATTTGGAGTCGAGCAATGAAAATTGCCCTCCTTGTGAAGAACAAGTTAAGGTTTATCAATGGAACACTCCTGCACCCTCTTGATCTGATTTAGGTGCAGTAGTGGGATCGTTGTAACGTCATTGTCATGTCTTCGATAATGAATTGCATTTCTAAAAATCTTGTGGGTCGAGTCATCTATGGAACCAACGCTGCACTGTTTGGCAAGATTTGCAAGAGACATTTGACAAGATCAATGGTTCTCACATATATTCAATCATGAAAGACATTGCTACAATACAACAAGGTTCGTCATCAATTTCAGTTTATTATACGCAATTGAAGCTCCTCTGGGATGAGTATTCTTCTATAGTCCCATCTATCACATGTTCTTGTCCTTCATCCAAAGTTTATAAAGAGTATGAACAAACTCAGAAAGTAATACAATTTCTGATGGGTCTAAGTGAGGGTTATGCGGCTGTTAGGAGTCAAATTCTTCTAATGAATCCTTTACCAGTCGTGAATGTTGCTTATGGCATGCTTAGTTAAGAAGAGAAATATAGGGGTATCACTAATTCCACCACCTCTCTATCAGATACTGCTGTTTTTTATACACACAATATTTCCAAGAATCAAGGGAATCCAAGAAGTAACAGTCAGCAATCTAAAAAGAAGGCGATGGAATGTGAATTTTGTCATCTAACAAATCATACCATTGATTTTTGTTGGAAACTTCATGGCTATCCCGAGAACTGCCAAAGATGCAGAAACAAGAAGCATTTCAACCATAAAACACCTACGGCCAATAATACTAAACACACAGCTGAGGAGTTATCTTCAAGTTCAACAAAGAATGTACCAGTGACTACATCGATTTTTTTCTCCAGCCCAATAACAAGAAATTCTTAAGCTATTGGGCAAGGATGGACCTTCACTTATTGCTAATGTTGTTCAAGGTGCTCTTGACATTGCTACCAATGTCGCAGGTACTCCTCATTCTTTTATGGTTTCTTTTTTAAATAATGCATGGATATTAGATACAGGAGCTAATCATCATATGTCATCTGATTTTCATTGCCTGGATAATGTGCACCCTTATAATTCCTTCATCAATCTTACTGTTAAGTTACCAAATGGTATATCTGTCCCAATAACCCATACTAGTGATGTTTGCCTCTCTCCACAACTTAAACTACATAAAGTCTTATTCATACCATAGTTTAGATACAATCTATTATTTGTGTCAAAGTTTTGCAAAGATAACAATGTACATGTTTCTTTTTTTCCAAAATTCTGTTTGTTTCAGGACCTATGGAATGGATCAATGATAGCGATTGGTAAAGAGCATAATGGATTGTATTATCTGATTCAGAAACCGAATTCACATTTGTTTTCTCATTTGAATAAAACCATGATTGCTTGTAGTGCTCTTTCCCATGCCATACGCATAATAGGCTAGGTCATGCATCTATTTCGAGAATAAAGTTGATTTCTTCCTTACATAATTCGTTTGTAAAGGAATCACTCCCTCATTGTAAGGTTTGCCCATTAGCTAAACAATGCAGAAAACCTTTTCCTACCAGTCTCTCTATCACTTATACAATTTTTGATCTGGTACATATTGATATATGGGGTCCTTACAAGGAATCTACTCATAATGGTTTCAAATATTTTTTAACTCTTGTGGATGACTTTTCTAGTGCCACTTGGACATATCTTATGACTGTTAAGTCGGATACATTACATATATTCAAAAACTTTGTTTCCATGGTTAATAATCAGTTTTATGTCAACATAAAAAAGATTAAGACAGATAATGGTACTAAATTCTTTAGTACTGACTTCACAAATTTTTTAAATTCTAACGGAATTATTCATGAGAGTTCATGTCCTTACACACCTCAACAAAACGGAACTGTAGAAAGCATAGACACATCATGACTATAGCTAGAGCTTTACGATTCCAATCTCATGTTCCAATCACTTTTTGGGGGGAATGTATTTTGAGTGCCACTTATATTCTAAATAGAATTCCTACTTCACTGTTATAGGGTAAGTCACCATTTGAAATGTTGTTTAAAACACCTCCCACACTTTCCCATCTTAGAGTCTTTGGTTGCCTTTGTTATGCAAATATACTGCCCCAAGTAGACAAGTTTGGTCCAAGAGCAGTTCCTTGCATTTTTTTAGGCTATCCAACCTTCCAAAAGGGTTACAAAGCATTTGACATTCAATCTCAAAGGTTTTTTGTTAGTAGGGATGTCACATCTCATGAGACTATTTTTCCATATACTGACCATAACATCACATCTCATGCATCACCATTATTCCCTTCTACCACACAATTTCATGATGAATCAGATTTTTTAGTTTTTGACAATCCAATGGCAGTTCCACATCTAGTTTCTATTAATGACAATTCCATAGTTTCTCCAGCAACAGATTCAGGTAGTAGTCGCATCATTGAAGTTTCACCTATACAGCCTATTCCAAACACTGTCTGACGGTCCACAAGACCATCTAAACCACCTGTTTGGCAAAAAGATTATGCTATCCCTTATAAATCACAATACCCAATTTCTAATTTCATTTCATATAAACATTTGTCGCCTAGATATCAAAGTCTACTTTCTGCCATATCTCACATATCTGAACCACAAACCTTTAAAGAAGCCATAACTGACCAAAATTGGAGGAATGCTAGGGATACAAAACTTCAGGCATTAGAATCAAATGAAACATGGCAATATATTAGTTTCTCTTCCACCTACTGGAAATAAGGCCATTGGGTGTAAATGAGTTTATAAAGTGGAACTTAAGTCAGATGGTAGCATTGAAAGATATTAGGCTTGATTAGTTGCAAAGGGGTATACATAGCAAGAAGGTATTGATTACACAGAGACTTTTTCTCCTGTAGCCAAAATGGTTACAGTTAGGACCATTTTAGCACTTGCAGCCATAAATGATTGGGGTCTCTTTCAAATGGATGTATATAATACCTTCCTTCAAGGAGATTTGAATGAGGAAATATATATGAAGGTTCCTCCAGGTCTGAATAATCAACTTGAGACCACAAATAAGGTCTGCAAACTATTGAAATCCTTATATGGTTTGAAACAAGCTTCTAGACAATGGCATCACAAGTTTACCACTGCACTGTTAGAGTATGGTTTCTTGCAGTCCAAAAATGACTACTTGTTATTCACTAAGACTCATGGGAGTAGTTTGGTGATCTTATTAGTGTATGTTGATGACATACTACTAACGGGTAACAATCTTGCAGCCATTGATGAAGTCAAACGATATCTCAATGCCAAATTTAGAATCAAGGATTTAGGCATCTTGAGATACTTCCTTGGGATGGAAATCAGTTGCTCACGAGCTGGTTTGGTAATAAATCAACGAAAATATGCACTCGAAATTCTTTCTGAAACTGGTTTGCTAGGTTCTAAACCAGTTGCCACCCCTTATGAGCTACACCTCAAATTAACGACTGTTGAATTGGATAAATTAGTTGGCACCTGTACAAATGATCCACTCCTAGAGAATAAGCATCAGAGATTAGTAGGTAAACTCATCTACTTATGTATGACTCGACCAAATATTTGTTACTCAGTTCAACATCTACGTCAGTACATGCATTCACCTAAGAAATCTCACTATGAAGCTGCTTCAGAGTATTGAGATACATCAAATAGAGTCCTGGTACTGGCTTATTTTTTTCTGCAAAGAATAATTACACCATTGAGGCTTATTGTGATACTGATTGGGCTGCCTGTCTAATGTCTAGAAGGTCCTTAACATGTTATTGTATCAAGTTTGGTGAATCTTTAATTTCCTGGAAAACAAATAAACAATCTACTATTTCCAGATCATCTTGTGAGGTTGAATATAGATCAATGGCATCCACTTGTTGCAAGATTACTTGGATACAAAGTTTGCTCCTTGATTTGGGCATCAAACTTCTACTACCAGCATTATTGTACTGTGACAATAAAGCTGCCCTACATATTGCTGTTGATCCAGTATACCATGAACGAACCAAACATGTTGAGATTGACTGTCATCTGATCCAAGAAAAGATTGATCGCAAATTAATTAAACCTACATACATCTCCACCAGTGAACAGCCCACCGATTTGATGACCAAGGGATTATGCAAGCAACAACATCGGATTCTCATGTCCAAGCTTGGTATGTTTGATATTCATCAATCATTACCAGCTTGAGGGGTGATATTAGTTATATTAGTTTTTATTACTGTTGTAGTTTTTGTTACTGCTGAAGTCCAAGTGTCATATTGTAATTGGTTGTAATTAGTTATTTAAAAGAGCTGTAGTAGTTGTAAAAACTGAGTTGAGTTGAGTTCAATAATTTTTTCCTCAATTCTTTTTCTCTGTCTCGTATCTCTTAACAGCAATAAATGAAAATTTATAGCAAGAATAAGCAGTTGAGAGGACATATACCTGTAATGCTGCAATTGCAGTTTCACTATCCTTAAATTTCTGCTCTTGTTCATTCATTAAAATTGACTTGGGCTCCAGAACAAACCTGGCCATGAGATGTGAGTGTTAGACAGTGAGAGTAATAATGAGAGAGACAAACAAAATAGTTACTCAAATTTAATAATCCACATTCCAGGAAGTCTAAAAATGAAATTTAGTGAGAGCCACTAGGTTTTCCAGTACTTACGTTCTCCCTGCAAAATGATAAGGAGAAGAGGGTTAACCATGTAATCTGTCTCACAGAAATTAATATGCTAAAAATGAAAGTAACAACAGCTACTCATTTAAGATCCAGAAGCATATAAGGCAGTCTTATTACCAAAACACCAAACAGAAACTGGTTAATTTCCTAGATTAAAGAATTGATCTGAGTAAAACATGCTAAAATAAGATAATGGCTCTAAATTGATACCTATGGATTTGTATGTATTTGTATCATCAGGTAATTGGCGCAGCTCCTCCAAGGTTAAGTAAGCACACTTATTCTCCCCTTCTTTATTTCGCATTTGGTTGTGCACCTGAAAGCAACAAGATCACTCACTTCAGTTTAAAGAGTCAAAACTATCTTTCTATCACTAAATCAAATGCATCATGGCAAAACTATCTTAAAACTATCTTCAAATGGAATTCTTCAATTGATAGAAATACATCCAGTGACGTAAAACAGTAATTAGAAGACAAAGAGAGGTGATGTAATGTTTACTAAAGCACCACCCTAAATACCAAAAGACAACAAGACAATCAAGGGCAGCAAACATATAATCCAACTGAAATGGCATCAACATTACAAATGTCTAGAGAAGATATTCTTGAAAGAGTAAAAGAATTAGGATCTTCACAGGGTTGCATGGGCAACTACGAAAAGAGCTTCAACATATGAGGTGCAAGTAAATAATCAAAAAGTTAAATTTTCACATTATAAAAGAAAAACAAGTCAAAACCTGACATCAAATCATTATATTTCACTAATTTTTTAATGACAAAAGAAATCATATTCAGAGGAACTTATTTTGAAAATAAAGAATTCAGCGCTTAATGAACGAACAATTACACCAACATCGATCTAGTGTCATATTTTTACATGGGAAGAATTGATACGAAAAAATCCTTCTCCTTTCAGAAGCAGTTTTCAATTCACCTCTTTGCCAAACGTTTGGCAGAGTGCATAGCTAAAAAATTCCATTCATTCTACATCTCTATCCCCTCCATTTTCCTTCCAAACAATCATAAGAGAAGGAAATATTATAATTTTTCCTTCCCCCTACTCCCTAGGCCTTCCTCCAATATTTTCTTGAAAAAAAAAAAAAAAGAATAAAGAATAAAAACAATCTTGCTTTGGCTTCAAATCTTCTTCCTTAAAACTAAAACTTAATTATTTTCTACCAACACTTTCAAAGCATACCAAGAGTAACACTAAGCTAAATCAACAAAACAAGCCAAGTTAAAATGCGTGAAGCGAGGGAAAACTCATATCAGAACCATAAAAGTAATTAATTGCGAAGAAAAAGTAAAAGAGACTGACCTGCTTCAATTTGCCAGTAGTTTCAATCATGCGACCTTTAATCTCCATAAATGCCTTTTTTTTCTTTTTAAACAAATGGTTTCAGATCAATAAAGAAATTTGTAATTTAACAAATATGAATCAATGATAATCTATGGCTGTTCTTACGGTTCTGTTGGCTTCGTCAGACATTGTAGAAGATACTCCAGTGCCAATATGTTGATTCTTTTGAGCTTCAAAGCCTATTAATTATTAAGGAATTTTATTAAATAGCTCTTTTGGCCTGGTTTAACTAGGAAGGGTAGCCAACCCCGAAGGTTTCAAACAATATTGTAGACCCTTTAGGTATGAGAAATTCTTTTAACCTCCTTCCAGAATTCAGATTTGCAAAATCATTATTTAAATTAAATCTGAACATAACATAAAATGGTCAAAATTAACATAATCAAATGGGTTCAGAAAGAGAGTTGGTGTCAAGTGCTATGCCAATGCGCCAAAGCTCAATGGAGTTTCAAAGTCTGATCAGGATATCCATTTGGATATTGGCGGACTAAGTAGACAATGCTTTCCCCACACTTTTGCTTTTGGAGCTTCAACTTCTGCGTATCAAGTGGAAGGAATGGCTCTTGAGGAAGGTCGCGGATCTAGCATCTGGGATTCCTTTGTTAGAACTTCTTGTATAATATATTACATTTATCAACTGTACCCATAAAATCCTTCTTTACAAATTGATGCATCTTTCCCACCTTAATATGAGCGAAATCATTTAATCTTACAACCTTTTCGTATTGAGAAATATAAGGAAAGATTAAAAAAAAGAATTTGAGAGAACAATATTTGATATTCAATTATCTGAATTTTTGTTACAAATGAGGAAGAGCTACTGTACATTATATACAAACACTGATACAGAGTAAAGAGTAAAGTAAGCTGAGACTTTTACTTAAAACGACACCACTTTGCCTATTATCAAAAGCATCCAAACACTTAATGACTTTGCACTTTCATCCTCTTATATCAACATCTCCCTTCAAACCAAACCTGGTTTAGGGTCAACACTTCCCAGTTTCAGTTATCAACAAAAAAAAAAAAAAAAGTTTATATTTAAATATTAATTAAAAGGAAATTATCACTTTAGGTATGCCCCCCCCCCCAAATGCTAAAAAAAAAAAAAAAAAAAAAAAACTCAACAACTCAATTCTGATTAAAATACACAACCCTAATTCACAACACAGTAGCTTAACGCTGACTCTTAAAATATCAGCTTGCCAAGTTCACAACAACTCAATAGCTTAATTCTGATTTTCCACTACCAACTCTGATTCTAAAATATCAGCTATCAGCTTGCCAAATTCACAACACAGCAGCACAACTCTGATTCTTTACTGCAAAATTCATAACACATGCTGATCCTACACTGCCAAACTCTCAACACAGCAATACAACTCTGATTCTTCACTGCAAAATTTACAACACATTCTGCAAAATTTACAACACATTCTGATCCTGCACTGCCAAACTCTCAACACAGCAGCATAACTCTGATTCTTTACTGCAAAATTCTCAACACAGCATTCACAACACATGCTGATCCTGTACTGTCAAATTCTCAACACAACATTCACAACACATGCTGATCCTGTACTGTCAAATTCTCAACACAGCATTCACAACACATGTTGATCCTGTACTGTCAAATTCTCAACACAACAGCACAACTCTGATTCTCTACTGCCAAAGTGAGTTATGAGTAACTCCACCAATATTCATTGTCAACCATCAGAACTTCACCAGCCAAAAAAAAAACTCCATCAACTTTCACTTCATCAACATTCATTAACATTGGCAATCAAAAAAAAAAAAAAAAAAAAAAAAAAAAAAAAAAAAAAAACTCATCAGCTAGCAGTTTCAGTATATAAAAAAAATCAGGTTCACCAAATCTGATTAGAAATCTGCACTAACAGTTGCAAACTTTAAAAAAAAAAAAAAAACAGTTGCTGCAAAATCAGTAACCAGAACTCAAACTTGCACCATCAAATTACTGTAGAATCAGTAACCAGAACTCAAACTTGCACCATCAAGAACTGTCAATTTTTGTCTGAGCTCACTAAATTGAGCAGCTGAGAGGGGTTTTGTTAGGAGATCAGCAATTTGAAGTTTTGATGGCACATATTGTACCACCTGCTTCTTAGCTAAAACCTGTTCACGAATGTAGTGTGCATCCAGTTCAATATGTTTGGTCTGTGGATGGAAAACTGGGTTAAAAACTAGCGCTCCAGCACTCACATTATCACACCATACCACTGGAGTCATAGGAAAATTTAGACCCAATTCAGAGAACATATTCTGTAACCAAGCTACCTCAGTGGCAGTTTGAGCAAGTGCTCTGTATTCAGCCTCAGTTGAGGACAATGCTACCATTTTTTGCTTGCGAGAACTCCATTGAATAAGATTTGGACCTAAGAAGACACAACACCCACTTGTAGACCTTCGATCATCAGGACTACTTCCCTAATCGGTAGTAGCATAACACTCAATATTTAATGATACTGCGGGCTTAAAATGTAACCCAAACTGAAGAGTACCTTTGATATATCTAAGGATCCTCTTGTAGGCCTGCCACTGCAGATTTGTTAGGGCTTGCAAGTGTTGACTGAGTTTGTTAACAGGGAAGCTAATGTCAAGATGAGTAAGGGTTAAATACTGAAGAGCACCAATAGTGCTTTTGTATAAACTGGGATGTTCAAAGGCTGGACTGTCAAGTGAGGATAACCTGGTACCAACAGCCATTGGAGTGGAGCAAGCATGAGCTTCAAGCATATTAGTCTTCACAAGTAAATTAGTTGCATACTTAGTCTGTTTAAGATGAATACCAGCTGAAGTTCTAGTTGCTTCCAAACCCAAGAAATACTACAAAGACCCCAAAGTTTTCAATGCAAATTCATCATTTAGATCTGTCATCAATTGACTAATATAAGTGGAATTGGATCCGGTAATGAGAATATCATCAACGTATACCAAAACATAAGTGACAGCAGAATTTTCCTTGAAAATGAACAAGCTAGAATCTGAAATGGAGTTCTGAAATCCCTTAATCTGCAGTGCAGTTTTTAACTTGTCAAACCAGGCCCTGGGAGATTGCTTCAATCCATATAGAGCTTTATTCAGTTTGCAAATGAAAGAGGGGTAATCAGATGATTCAAAACCAGGTGGTTGTCGCATGTAAACTGTCTCATTTAGTGTGCCATTAAGAAAGGCATTGTTCACATCAATCTGCTAAATATCCCAAGCATCAGTAACTGCTAACGTAAGAATGATACGAATGGTGGATGGCTTGACGACTGGACTGAATGTTTCAAAGTAATCCATTAATCCTGGTGTTTGTTGAAACCCTTTGGCCACTAGCTTGGCTTTGTATTTTTGTAGACTGCCATCTGCATTGAATTTAGTCCGGAAAACCCATTTGTTCCTAACAATATTCATATTAGAAGAAGGTGGAACAAGAGACCAAGTGTTATTCTGGATAAGAGCATCGAACTCAACTTGCATGGCTGCTTTCCAAGCTGGACTTCCAAGTGCTTCAACTGCAGATTTAGGTTTAGGTTCAATGACATCCTGACCAGTGGTAAGAAAAGCTGAGTGCAACAAAATTTCATCTTTATTTGAAACTGGACCAGCTGAATCATATGAATCAGATTTATTCTGCACAACTGTTTTTAAGGCTGAACTTTCAAGAGCTTTAATTGATTTGAGAATAGCAACACCAGACTTGGATCTTGTAATCATGGGGTGCAAATTTGAAACAGTTTGTGATGCCATGAGATCAGTAGTAACTTGTGCTGATGATAAATCAACTTCAAGATGGCAGGTAGGTGGAACACAATCTGATCTAATTACGGGTAATGAAGAAACTGATGGTAACAAAGGAGAGTCTAAAGGGCTGCTACAAGATGCTATATGTAGTGGATCTGTAGATGGTGAGGTGACAGTCATGGTTGCAGGTGTTAATGATAATATAGGTGAGCTGATATGTTGGTTTGGAGAGTGTATTTTTGAATTTTTGACTGTATTAGATGAAGTGATATGAGTAGCAATTGTTGAATCATTAAGGACAGCTTTGTTTGTAGGCTTTGTTACTGCATGAGGAACATGAGAACCTGAAGAAGAGACGGGTAGGATGAAACAAGGTAACTGAGACGAGGAAGAGGTGTTGTAACTATCCTGTTCATTAAGAGAAATTTGTTTGAAGGAAGAAGTGCCATAAGGATCAATAAACTGTTTATTTTGGAATGGAAATTCTGTTTCATAAAAGGTGACACTAGGTGTAACAAAATTTTTTCCATCTTCTCTTAAACACTTGTACCCCTTATGAACTAAACTATATCCTATAAAAACACACTTGGAAGAATGAAAACTAAACTTATGATTGTTAAAGTGATAAAGGTAAGGAAAACAAGTACACCCAAATACTTTAAGACTTTCATAAACAGGCTATTTGTGGAACAATTTGAAATAAGGAGTATCACCGTTTAGGACATCAGTAGGCAGTCTATTAATTAAGAATGTAGCAGTCTCAAATGCTAACCACCAATAATGCAGGGGCATATATGCATGTGCAAGTAATGTTAAACCGATTTCTACAATATGTCTATGTTTTCGTTCACTACGCCCATTTTGTTGGTGAGTGTAAGCACATGATTGTCTAAATTGAATGCCTAAGTCATTTCGATAAGGAATAAGAGTTTTATACTCTCCTCCTTGATCAGATTGAAGACACTTTAGTTTAGTGTTAAATTGCCTCTCCGCGAGGTGATGAAATTTAATAAACACAGACTTAACTTCAGCTTTTGTTTTTAAAGGAAAAACCCATGTAAACCTATTGAAATCATCTAAAAACTGAACATAATACCGGAAACCTTCAACAGACACAGCAGGGGCAGGAACCCAAACATCACTATGAATTAAAGCAAGTGGTTTAAGAGCATGTGGCTGGGAGGCAGGAAAGGGATTCTGATGTAGTTTACCTAATTGACATGCATCACAAAAGAAATTTTCAGGTTTGTGGAATTGGGAAGCTTGTGAGTGAGATCCTGAAAAACTGGTCATGATTTTTCCAAAAACAGTAGGATTGGGATGTCCTAATCTTCTATGCCAAACCATATGAGAAGGAACCTGTTTATTAACAGCAAGGCAGTGAAGATTGGGTTGACTCTCATGTAGATTGATATGGGAAACATTGGATGCATGCAAGGTAGGTAATTGCACATTTTCGGGCAAACTTAGTTTATTCTGAATATTATGAGACAGTGCAGAATTAGAACATAAGGGTGCATTACTAACAGATTGTGCTTCAGGCTTATCCAAAGTAGTTACACAAGTAGATTGAAGTTAATCAGAATTGTGCATGTTAGAAGCAGACATATCAACATCAAGATTAAAATCAGAAACTAAAGCAGTTTGTGAATCACAAGAATGATCAATTTTATTAGTATTAAAAACATTGCAAAGTTCTTTACATGATGTGGATGAACAGTTATTGGTAGCTTGCATTTGAGACTGATTACAATGGAGAGTATCATTAGTAGATACAGTTGACCTATTTTGAATACTAGGCCTATGAGACTAACTAAACAGTGCATCTCCTGAGAATTGGACAGAAGGAGCTGCTTTATTAGATGATGAACTATAGGTAGGTGATATGTATGAAGCTGTGGAGGTTGGAACAGCAGAAGGAAACAAGGCAGGTGGAATATTCAGCTGGTCTAGACCTCCCTTAAGGCCCCCTTGCAATAACATTGCCTTTGTGTGGATTTGTCCTTAACAACACAACAATTTGCATCAAACTCAACAATAACATTATTGTCTTTGGTAAACCTAGAGATGCTAAGCAAGTTTTTTGTAATGTTTGGCACACAAAGTATATTCCTAAGATGTAAACATTTGGAATGCAATGAACTAGGTAAGATAGAATGACCTGTATGAGAGATAGAAAGATGCTCACCACTGCCTACTTGAAGTTGAGCATCACCTGCATAAGTCTTGCTGATTTGTAGCTATCCAAGATCAGAGGTCACATGATCGGTTGCTCCAGAGTCCATATACCATGCTGGATCAGTGGAAGAGAAGCCTGTAGCACTATCAAACACATGAGAAGGTTGACAGTAATGGTTCCCAGATTATCCACAATTTCCACCATTATCAGTATGAATTTCAGTCCCTGGTCCAGTAGAAACAAAATGGGCTTGACTATAAACAGAGTTCTGCTGACTAGGTACTCCAAAACAGCTAACACCTGAAGTAGGATTGAAATGTGCTGAACCACTATTTGGGATTGATGGTGAGTGATCATTATGCAGTTGATTAGCAGCAGAGAAAACATTGTTCTGAACATGTTGAGAATTCTGAGCATGCTGAGGATAAGTTGAGCTCTGAAAATGTGGAGGTAACACATTTTGGTAGCCTTGATGAGTAAGCCTAGGGTGCTGCTGTTGAGACACATGAACAGGGTGTTGCTGCTATGAAATACCACTGTAAGCTGCATTAAAATGATGGTAATATTGAACAGCAGAGTGTCTAACCTTATTACAGACCTGACAAATGAGTCTGTTTCTTCCATTCCCACGGCCTCTACCTTTTCCATAAACAAAAGGTCTAGTCCAGTTTTGATTCAGTCCATTACCAACAAAAGGTATACAAGTTTGAGGTTGAGAGGATGTGAAAGCTGGTGGAGGGATATAAGTCTGTGAACTATGAGGATTTCCCAAAGACATTAGGGATGGTACAATGTGCTCAACGTTTGTAGCTTTATTGTAACTAGTCTGCTCTTTTGCTCCAGAAATGTCAGATGCATTAGGATGATTAGCTAAGGCTACATTAACAGATCTATTAAAGAGATCAACTGAGTTAAATTTTTCTAATCTCAGCTCATATTTCTGAAGTAAAAATTGTGCCTCTTGAAGTGTAACATTATCAACTTTAGACTCTAATCTGGAAGTGAGGGTCATAACAGCAACATCATACTCAGGTCCTAACCCATCTAATACGTATTGAAGCAAGTCCTCATCAGATACAACCATTCCACTTGCTGCTAAACTTTCAGAAATCTCTTTCATCTTTTTAATGTAATCACTAATACTAAGACTACCTTTTTGAGTTGTTTGAAGTAAATTTTTAAGATGAAGAGCTCGAGCCTTGGAATCTGTTACAAACTCATTTTCTAAGGCTAACCAAATTTCAGTGGCTAATTTACATTTTGAAACAACATAGAACATGCTTTCCGATATTGATGCAAGCAGCCAACTAACTAAGCATTTATCAACTCTTTTCCACAAAACATAAGCTAGATTAAGTTGTTCACTAACCTCAGATTCATCGATTAGAACTGGCGAGGGGCAATGAGCTCTACCTAAGAGATGATCTTCCAATTCATGAGAACCAACGGCAGATAACACTTGGGAGCTCCAAAATCAGTAATTATTTCTTGTCAGCTTAGGGTTTATAACTTACAAACTCGAATTGAGAGCTGAAGTAGATCTACTTGAAGAATCTTGCAACATTTCTCGATTGCTGTTAAGCCTGTGAGAAGATGAGGAATCCTTAGCCATTGACGCGAGTCTTGGCTCTGATACCATGAGAAATATAAGGAAAGATTGAAAAAACGAATTTGAGAGAACAATATTTGATATTCAATTATCTGAATTTTCGTTACAAATGAGGAAGAGCTACTATACATTATATACAAACACTGATACAGAGTAAAGAGTAAAGTAAGCTGAAACTGTTACTTAAAACGACACCACTTTGCCTACTGTCAAAAGCATCCAAACACTTAATGACTTTGCACTTTCATCCTCTTATATCAACACGTATAACTCTTATTAAGGGATTCAAACAATCAAACAACAATATCCAAGTATTCTGTTCATTGTAACATAATCTCCTATGCTAATAATTTAATTATATATATATCAATTTTGGCTTAGTTATATTGCTTTAAATTCTTTTTATGACAGGGAAAATAAAGGATAAAACTACAGCAGATGATACAGTGGACCAGTATCATCATTATAAAGTGAGACTATATATTTATAATTTTTTTTTTCGTAAACATGATTTATGTAAATTCTTCTTCTGTTTTAACAGGAAGATATTGATCTTCTGAAAGATTTGAATTTTGACTCTTACCGATTCTCAATATCATGGTCTAGAATCTTCCCAGGTATTTATATTTATTCTAATATTGATATTAATAAACAGCTGGCACGACACATATATCAACTTATCATCATATTCCTTAGCCCTCTTCAATCCATATTGTTTAAATATAGATGGAACCGGGAAAGTAAATTGGAAGGGAGTAGATTACTACAATAGATTTATCGACTACTTGCTTGAGAAAGGTAAACTCCAATTAATCAAAGATCTTGCAATTAAAAATGTAACCTATATATGCATTGTTAAATCTTCATATTAACGTGAGACAAAAGCGACATCTGAAGCTTCTCGAACTGAGCTTTTAGGTATTACTCCCTACGTCAATCTTCATTAGTTTGACCTTCCTGAGGTACTTGAAAAGAGATACAATGAATGGTTATGCAAGAAAAAGGAAATAGTGTGAGTACTTAATACTTAAGCATGCACAATAGAAGAAAGTTTCGAGGAAACTATAACTCAAGTTAGATTTTAAATTGTTGATAGAATTAATGTTTGAAATTTTACAGGAAAGACTTTGTTGATTATGCGGACTTTTGTTTCAAGTTGTTCGGAGACAGAGTAAAGAACTGGTTTACTCTTAATGAACCCAGAATTGCAAGTATTTTTGGTTACTACTCTGGTATTATTGCTCCTGGAAGGTGCTCCAAACCAATTGGAGAGTGTGAGGAGGGGTGTTCTCTAACTGAGCCTTATGAAGCTGCCCACAACATGATTTTAGCCCATGCAGCTGCCGTCCAAATATATCGTCTAAAGTATCAAGTAAGATGAAAGATTATTTTCATTTTTTGCCATTATAATTAATGTTATTGATTGTCTCAAGTGATCGACTAAATGTGGACATTCATTTTCAGAAAAAACAACAGGGAAAAATTGGAATTGTCCTGGATTGTAGGTGGTATGAACCTTTTCGCAGCCCCAGAAATGACCATGAAGCTGCTAAAAGAGCAATCGACTTTGAAATTGGATGGTAAAATTCTAGCCAGCGTCATTAATTAGAATGGAAATATAAACGATTTTCATTGTATAAAAGTGGTTTTGACAAATGACAATGATTGATACTGGGACATTCATGTAGGTTTATGCATCCGATTTCATGTGGTGAGTACCCAAAAAGCATGATACATAACGTTGGGGATAGACTACCAAGTTTCACGGAAAAAGAGAGAGACATGGTGCGGGGCTCAATAGATTACGTGGGTATCAACCACTACTCCACTAGTTATGCTGAAGATCCAATCGAATTGCCGCCTCGTTTATATGCAGGCTACGAAAAAGACCGCCGTGTTATTGTTCATGGTAAGATCTCTCATCTCATCCTTTTCGGAAAATAAAATAGAAACAGTATTATATTCAAGTATTTATTATAGTTTCTTGACATATATATATTTTGCAGATGACAAAGTTGAAGAGGCAAATGGTTCGAATAATGTATCTCTTCGATCACAAACTTTTTATTTATTTATTTTTTAATATTTGTGCAGACATTATATGAGTTTTGTTTGACTGAATTAAAATTTGCAGAATGGTAGACCTTGGGGTATGTACAAGCTTTTAATGCACCTAAAAGACAACTATGGACACTATCCGATCATTGTGGTGGAAAATGGTACGTTTCAATGATTCATCAGTTAGATTATTGAAATGAATTGATTAAATTGTATTTTACACTGTATTTATATATAATCTAAAAATAGCTTGCAACAAAAGAAAGTAATACTAATAGACAAATTCTAATTGCGTACAAGGTAACACAATTTTCCTAATTATATATGATTAGTTGATTATTCTTAAGGAGTCACTAATTATATCTTAGATAAAGTTTTCAATAAGATGGACAATTGAAATATCAGTTGATGTGTTTATGTATAACCTATGGTCCTATACCACAATCAAGAAATGTACTCTTCAATATGCACACGGAACATATAATTTTGACACATGATTTACAGGGACGAATGATGCGAGCGATATCCTATTTCCCTACGTATTGCATGACAAAGCAAGGGTGGATTATTATAAAGGCTATGTGGATGCAGTGAAAAATGCAATTGATAATGGAGCAAAAGTGATAGGCTATTTCGCATGGTCATTGCTTGATAATTGGGAATGGAGTAGAGGATACACTACGAGGTATGGCATTGTCCATGTTGATCTTAACGATCAAAAGAGGTACCCCAAGTTGTCTGCATATTGGTTCCAACAACTGCTCAAGGAAGAGAAGGTGAAGCCTTAAGCCACAGCCCGAATGTCTCTTCTTAATAATGGAATTGTGGTTTATGTAATAACTAAAAATCATCAATAACTCTTAATCGAATCTACTAGATACGAGAAGTAGTTGCCGGTTAATGATATATATGTTCTTCTCTTTAATTATCAATATAATTAAATCATGAGAGTCACTATGTACTAATCTATATGTTTACTGGATGTTTAAACAGGTTTAGAGGCATTAATTTCTTTAAAGCTCATCAATATTGGAACTATTCTTCTCTATTTGTTTTATTGAACAACGGAGAAAAAGGGTGGGAAGAGATTGTGGAGTGGTTGGCTATATATTTTTTTTGTCAACTGCAACAGCATTATTAAGTAGTATTTGGTAAGATGTGTGAGTTAAGTTTTATTGAGATAATTAGGAATGACAAGACTGAGACCCTGCTAATTTTATGCCGCATCCCTTGAAGCAACGCTCTTCACCGACGATATGAACTTTAAATGGCGGAGTAATTGTAAAGACAATAAACTTCCATTTAGGTGTATTTATAAAACAAAATCCAAATTAAATGAGAGATAGAAGATCAGTTTCAATTTTATTACAAGAATTGACGTTGTAGCTGATACGTAGGTTCCACACTAATTTAAATCGCAGAATATATTATACTCTTAGGTTCATAGCGTAGTTTGTGGCCTTGGACACGCTTAGACTAGTAAATATTTTATACTGAGACACACTAATTAGCTACTTCAAATTTAGCTAAAATTATGTGATCCCCACTCCACACGCAGTATTATGAGATTAAGTTTAAATGTCGCTAGCTTTCTTTAGGTTTATTCAACTAACTCATGTATAAATTAGTTTCTTTGCAGAAATTACGTTACATAAGATATTATTATTAAGATTGGTGGTTTTTTGGTGACTTGTTTAACACCATCATATGGCTCAGAAGTAAACTCTTCTTTAAGTATCAAAGGTTAATTGAAAACCATATGAAATCTCCGATAATGTCAAAAGTTTTTTCAATCTCAATTACCTAACGCATGCATGTGGCAGTTAGTAAACGGTCTTTTTCACCATCTTTTCTTTAACACCTCTGGTGTGATTTTGATTTACCAATAGCACTAAGGAAAGCAACCCGGAAACGGCCACAACACCCAGATATATATCATATTCATATTCTCACTATTCAGATAATTTTTTTCAACATTTTCCATTTCCAATTGGAGACAGATACACCAAATTCTTACCAAAGATTTATTAATCGAAGTTGAAGCTCGATCATCTTCTATTCGGTTGATCATCATGGAACTACTCCAGAAACAACACTACGACGATATATACATGCAAATACAATATACCAGCTAGCTAGCAATACAGAAATTAACAACTTATTTTGATCGATATTCAATAGAGAACTTGGCCTATCAGTTCTCCTGGTTCAGAAAGGGTTACCAGCATTAATAGATTAAGTAATCATACACTACTGCACAAAAGAAACAAGAAGACAAAATAATATAGTAATGACAAGTAGTTCATTATTGTTGATGCGTGATTTTTATATCAACTAAAAGCACGTGTGCAATGATGAGCTGGCTCAAAAGACACACGTGAATATAAAGGATAATGAGAGTAAATGCAATGGGAATACCTTTTAAAGTGGTTTGGATGCTAAGGTAGCAAGTCCTACGTCCACTGTTGTTTGTATTAATGATAGAAGTCAAGTCGCATTAGCTGACTGACTTACAGATGATAGTACAAGCGAGTGAATGCTATAAATTATAGAGAGAGAGTAGCTAATCAAGAGTAAAAAAATGAGCGAATCCCACAAATAGGAGAGAAGCTCTCTATTTATAGTGGGATACATTAAGGCAATGATTATTGAATCTGTGAGTTGGTGGGATTATCCGTGTAAATCATTCTTTATGTCACATTACCCACATTTTAGAGTGATTTGCGCGATTTGGCGCAGGGATTGGACACGTGGGATCACCACAGCTTCTGGCTGGTCTGGCGCGCACCCACTATTCTGACAAAAGCAGGCTGTAGGTGTACCCATGTTCTGACTTTTGCACGCTGATTGGGCCTTATGTTAGCCCTTATATTTTTCAGGCATAACAGAAGTCCTCTAGTTTTTAAGGTTTGAGGATCGAACCTTGGAAACTATAAGTCATGCCGCGATTGGATGCTTACGGGAAGTTCTGGTGATTCCGACTTGTTTGAAAATAGGTCCGGGTAGCACTCTGCGTGAACACGACCTCGCATGTCATTGCCTGCTAAGGATGAGCGACCTGACTTCGTCAGACGTTACCTGTTGTGCTTTTGGTATGGGTGCATTTAATGAAGCAGCCTCTGCTCTGACAGTCGTGTCATGTGCGTGATAAGTGCCAACCAGGTGCATTAAATGCATTGTATGCTGACATGGTACCCTTTATCAGAACATTAAATGCGTGACATGTTGAAACGACACCCCTTATCAGGGCATTAAATGCAGATTAGGACGCAATTAATGCTAAGAGAGAGAGTGTCGTCGCTTGAGTTTTTCAAAGGAAAAAAGATGAAGGTTTGATTTTCTTCAATCGTGACGCTCACTCTTCCTCACTGATCTGTGACATGTGGCCGTGATTAACGGTGAGAAATTTTTGCCGCCCAAATGTCGTTTTGATTCCGAGAAAGAAAAACGTCATTTCACGTGCTATAAAAACTCAGATCTTTCTCAAGCAATGTCACCACACTCGTCTTTTTCACAGAGAGAAAGAGATTTTTGCAAGCTTGGAGTCTTTGCCTTCCAAAGCAGTGTTTTTCTGATATTCGAAGCAGAAGCCATTTTCGTACTCCGAGAGGTAAGAATCTTTTTCTGCTTTTATTTTCTTATTCCCATGGTTGGTAAATGGCGTTAATCATCCGGTAGCTCATCGGAGACGAGACGCCCATGTCGGGTTCGAGCCATGAATGGCGGCTCGAATCATGCTGTTAGGGTTTTCTCTAGGTTTTAGGGAGTTTGTTTCCTTCCACGTCATCGTATGGAGTAGCGTACGATGACTAAATGACCCTCCTGCTTGTCGCTTTTGCAGACCAGTAGAATGGACCCCTCAACGACTAGATCCGAGGAAAGGACCGGTTCGTCCTCGCAGGTTGCTCCGCGTGCTACTCCTGAGGTCTACTCGGTACTTATCGGGAAGAGCTCGAGAGAGTGATAAAACAATACGGTATCGACGTGGAAGTCTTCCGCGATGTGGCCCACTCATCGCAATACCTATCAAGTGGGATGGCCACGATCTCTGAGGAGATCATCAAGGGTGGGGGATTGATCCTCTTCTACCCTTTTGTCAGGTCGATCTTGGATCACTTCGGGATAGCACCGATGCAGCTTACTCCTAACGTGTATGTTATTGCTATTGCCATGTACATCACGTGTCGTGAGAACGGGCTGGGCGAGCTAACCGCGGCAGAGCTCAGTTGCTTGTATTTCTTGAAAAAGAGCAAGGACAAAAATTCTTATTACTTGTCCAGGCGACCTACTATAGCCGAGGGGATACATAACTACCCTAGCAATGCGGGGGCCTACGAAACGAAGTTTTTCTTCTTTCGTTATGACGGCCATTGCCGCTTTTAGGACCCGAGTAGGCTCTTTTCCCTTAGCGAATCCATTAAATTTGAAATGCGTTTTCTTTCGAACGACCTGTTTCTTTTCTGGTAGTTAACAAGACGACCGACTTAGGGCTGCTCTTCGATTCGGATAGGATCGTATCTTTCGGCTTCCTGCCCGAACCCAATCGCGACCAAAGAAGCTCGTGACAACCGCGAATCTGCGAAAATATGGTTTCTTCAACGCAAACGCTTCTTTAGAGCCCCCATTGAGTAAGTCTTGCTAACTGGGTCTTTTCTGGTCGTGAAATGAATCACTTGCTAACTATGCTCGCATGCAGCGACCATGCCTCCGAAGGAGTCAAAGCAGTCGCGATGAAGGCAATTCAATTTTCCTCAGTCAAGGAAAGCCAAGGCGACCGATGCTGCTCCTACTGTTCCCCCAGCTGAAGGTGCAACATCAGGCCCCCCGGTGCGACCTGCTAGAACTTCTCAGCCCCAACCTTCAGAGGACGTACCAATTCGAACCGCGAAGGCTTCCCAGCCATCGGTTGTTCACCCGAGGCTAAAGACAACAGCTCAACGAGCAAAGAATAAGAGAAGACAAATTCAGGTCGAAGAGTCAGAGACTAAATCTTAGGGCGATCAACCCGGGAGGTCGCAGCCAGACGTCGGGTAAGGAACCAACAGGAGACACAACCCTTGCGGAAGGCGCGAAGAAGGAAACCCCAGTGCTGGACTCACTGGGGAACCTACCGAAGTACCTGTAACCGATGGTCTACACTTTGCTAGAGTGCGGACTCTCGAAAGCATTCGACTAGTTCGTAGGTTTCAACTACATGGACCTGACGTCCACATCACTCCAGCATTTAAGCAAGGTAAACGAACTGTCCTCGGCGAGGACTTCCCTTAGTTCCTTTGGATAAACTAACTTGCTATTTTTTCTTGTTTGCAGGTCCTGCTTTCCATGCAACTATCCCTGGAGAAGGTTCGGCTGGGAGCTACAAAAGGGGAAGGTCACACTAAAGGAAGAGAACGCAAAGCTCAAGTGAAGCCTGGAAGCTGTCGAAACAGAAAGAAACCAATCCTCTGAATCAACAAACCGGTACCTAAGCGAAACGGATGCGGCTCTTCGCACAGTGGACTTCCAAAAAGCGGAGCTCGAGAAGCATGGGGAGGAAATAAAGGAGCTTCAAAGGACCATAGCCAGACTCTCCAAGGAGGTCGGAGAGAAGGACCAAGAGCTCAAAGCGACCTCTCTGTGGGCTTTACGAGCAGAACAAGAGAAGGATGCCTCCGAGAAGCAAAGGTAAGCTCTCGAGGCCGAACTTCAGGTAAGTCAGGGGAAAATTGCTTCCCTGACCGAAGAGATGCAGAATCAGGTAGCAGAGGTCGAGGAGAAGGCCTCCGATTGGGCGATCAAGTCCATCTATGCCTTACGGTTGAAGAACCCGCATATTGATATGTCCGACTTCCCGGAGGATTGGCAGGAAACTGTCAGGTCCATGGCACGGCAGGATGATGAAGCGGCGGTCGCCCGAAGATCCCCAGTCGACCAGCCTTAGGATGATGAGGTCGTTCCTCTAAGAGT